AAGGGAAATGAATTGGGATTATTTCTTGCCCAAATTAGCCATGTTCGAGAAAAGAGAAAAATAGCTAGTTCGCTAGAGCCAAAGCCGCAGTGCATACAAGTTAGGAAAGAAAATCTCTTGGCTTGCAGCTGTAGGAAATATGGTAGGTCGAAGTCCAATGAGAAAAAGTTTCTCATAACTCCATTCCAGTGTGCACTGGATAATTATTTGGAGGAGATTATAGGACGTGAAACTCAAAATGTTAGCAATATTTCCAGATTTGTAAGAAATTAAAAAGAAGTAAGATTTTTAAAACCTCCCCTTTGGTCGGGGTGGCATACCGGTAAGTTGTTTAAAAGACCAACATCGAAAATCCAAGGCAAGATGTAGTACACTATATATCCAGCAATAAAAACTATTCTAAAAGCAATGGCATGACTTACATAATAACAAAACAATATACGGTTGAAACAATAAAATCCATTTGTATGGTCCCCTGCTTACTAGGCCTACAAGCTAACTAGGAGAACAATTTCATGGTTTGTAAGCGATATGGTAGGTCGATCTCCAACATCGAGGAGCGCTCCTTTTGCACATGGATCTCCTTCGTTTCCAAATCAAAAACTACGAGTGCACCATAGCGACCTTTCTCACATACTTGTAGCAACACCACGTCCCCGCTCCTCGTCCCGGAGCCCTCGAACTCAATGACTACATCAGTGCCACCCTCAAGAGGAATATTTGGGCACACTGACCGCAGATTCTCCCCTATGTCGATCATATTTTCTAGTGACCAACCACCACCACCAGCTGCTGGTACCGTATGGAGTTGTAGCCACACTGATATCTTGAACCCCTCTATGGCGAGTAGTTTGAGTCGATTCCTATCGGGTGACGTTGCCAAGTAGAGGTTGTTTCGTTCGCATTTGGTAGGAGGGAGCTTCACCATTCCGGGCGACCGCGTGCACACATTGTAGGTGAGGATATGCATATCATTGAACACTAGCCAGTGGATGACACTGCCGCAGAGGATGGCGGGGGCACTTCTCTCCCAGACAAACATCCATGGAAAGTCCGGGTTGCTCGCATGAGTCGTGACGGGTCCCCAGGTACCAGAGGATGTGGCGGCCTGTACCTTGATGCTCCATCCGTAGAGATCGAAGAAGAGTAGCATGAAGGAAGAGTCGATGTCGTCCGCCGTAGTGAGTAGGACATACACTTGCAAGTTGTTCTTGGTACTCTTGATACCTGTCGGTCTTGAGAGGAAGGTGTGCTTGCCGGTCATGGGATCATAAACGCACATGTCAGATGAGCGCTTGGATTTGGGTCGTGCATTGATGTGCTCTCGGCGGAGGACGACAAGGCCGCCGCGGGACGTCACTAGTTCGTACCGCCTGAAAAGCTTCGGGGCGCGACGCGACATGTAAGGCGAGAGTTGCTTGCGGCATAAGGACATGATGGTGGGCGTGACGGGGTGGACCACAGTTAGGGGCCAATCTTCGTAGGTGCTGTAGGCGAGGATGCTTGGAGCCACCTTTTGGGTAATGCCGTGGATGAACTGCGGGCTGAGTATGTCACGACGGAGGTGCTTGCAAACGGCGGCGCAAAGGACGACCGTGAGAAAGTCGGTGCGCGCCATGATCTCGAGCAGGACATCAGAAGGGAGGGTCGTCAGTATCTCCGACGCCACCGGCGCACACACGTTGTTTCGTCGGCGTTTGCGTGACACCATGGGTAGTACGTGTTTGAGTTGGAACTTGGAAGCCCTAGCGTGCTATAACTAGGCAGCTACAGGTAGAGAACGAACGCGCGTACTTCTGTGTCCGGCTGCAGACCCTGTTAATATATCGCATCACCCAGCTTTGGCGAGTTCATGTGGAGAACGGAAGCAGCTTTCCCACATCGGAACGGAGTCAGAAACCCAAACCGGACGGAGTTTATATGGATGAGCCAAAGGTGGCCCACCTCCTAGTTATGTATAGTTGAGTTTGAGACCCTGCCTGTACTTATATATACGTGCACCGGCACCCCATCAATACAACGACTATTGTATTGCCAAACTATCCGTCTACAACGGCGACGGTGTGAGCCGAGCCAAGTGAGAGGGGTCAAAGGAAGATGTAGTCTCCGTCGGGACCGTGGTGTGCGCCTGGTCAACGTGAGAGTTCTTCTGTGTTGTGCTGCGTGCGTGCGTCTGTACCTCCATGTATGTGTTTGGGTAGTTGAGTTGAATAGAAGCCAACATACAAGCCGTCCAGCGGCCGGGGCGTTCATCGCCATTCTGTTCATCTTCTTCTGCCCTCGCCCAGCGTTCGTCGCGGGAGGGCTGTTCGGCGTATGTCGCCCAGGAGCGTTAGTTTGTCCCAACACTGCTACTTGTCGTGGCGGCCTCGTGGTTGCTGGGTCCTTGCGACATGGTGGAATTCCAGCGCGATCCATGTCCTTGGTGCTGTCCTGACAAGAGTTCCTGACAACCAACACCGCGTCGCCGCATAATGACTCCGGCATCTTGTAAGAGTGGTTCGTTAAAGGGATGAAGAAATCAACCAAACTCTCGGGAATGAACGGAAAACCCAAAGAGAAAACGGACCTAAATCTGGGCGGAAACGGAGAAAGGCGACCAAACTCTCGCCTCGAATGAGGAGTATGTGGACGCAAAAACCCGAATAATGTTTCCGTGTGAAAGGAAAGCACAGCAATGCTTCCGCGTGACGTTCATTTGCCTGTGTGGATCTTTCCTAACTTCAAGAGTTTTTTTTTTGCATCGAAAGGGGGAATTTATTCAAGCAAAAATGGTTCGGTGACAATCAGCCCGAAGGCTACTAATCAAGAAGTCTGGGCTATGATCAATCCTGCTATCAGTACCCTCAAGCGTACAGGCACGCTGAGCCCAAAGGTGAGTCGGAAAGTTTTGCTCCCTGCCAATATGACGAACCAAAAACGAAGAGAAACTAGGCACAATATCCTCTAGTTCATTCAAGATAGGCGCTGCAATTGAGCGAGAGTTGCGGCGCGAATTCCATAGGTTGACAAGTTCCATGCAATCAACCTCCATTATCACATGTGAGTAACCTCGTAGATGTGCAAAGATCACCCCTTCGCGAAGAGCTAAAAGCTCGGCAACAAAGGGGTCGGACACACCTGGCAGCGGCTTGCTCCATGCTCCAAGGAACTCTAGGTGAGATCGGGCCACTCCACCAGCGCCTCCTGTTAAGGAGTCCGTGAAAACAGAACCGTCAGTGTTTATGGTGATCCAGCCCGCCTCAGGCGGCTTCCAACCCTGCGCTCCCTGTGACTTGCGGTCCTTCGGGATGTCGAGGATGGATAGGGTTTCATGTACCCACTTGATGGCTTGAACCGGATCGAAGCCATCCCGGTCGTGAGTCCATCTGTTACGCGAAGACCAAATGGTATGCATAATGGTGATGATCTTGCATCTTGCGTCCTGTGAGAACATCGGATCCAGCAAGATGTCGCGAGCCCAAGTTTGTGGATGCAATGGCGGGAGGCGAAGATCAAACCTCTGTTGGGCTGCCATCCAAAACTGTTTTGCATGTATGCATTCAATCAATGCATGCATCAAACTCTCCTCCATTGCTTGGCATATATCGCATATACCAATAGGTTTTATATGTCTGTGCTTCAAGGTCATCGAGACCGGTAGGATGCCACGGAGAACCCTCCACGAAAAGATTCGTACTTTCGGCACGACATGCAGTTTCCATAAGGTAGTCCACAACTGTTTATTTGCCGATGAAGATTCTGTAATCGCCCCTTCCTCATAAGCACGAAGCTCGTTTCGAGTTACGAGGGAACGATACGCCGATTTAACAGTGTAGTTGCCCGATTTTTCTAGAGCCCAAGCAAGGCTGTCTTCCCCACAATGTGCACTCAATGGAATATTGAGGATAGCTTCTGCATCTGGATGGAGAAAGTTTTGCCGTACTAGCTCAATGTTCCATGATCCTGTGTATTGATCTATCAAATCTGAAACATGTGGCGATGGTGCAGACCCTAGGCGTCCACTGGGTTTCAGAGTTGCAGTATTGGGGATCCATGGATCGGTCCAAGTGGATATGCCTGTGCCGTCGCCTATTCTATGGATCAACCCCTGCTTCAATGCCTCTCTTCCCGCTACAATGGCCTTCCACGTCGCCGAGGCCCTCACCGGAACAGTAGCATGAAGAAAATCTGTATTAGGGTAGTACTTCCCCTTTAACACACGAGCACAAAGAGATTGTGGATGTGTCAAGAGGCGCCACCCTTGTTTGCCAAGCATAGCTAGATTGAAAAGTGGGAGATCTTTGAAACCCATCCCACCTTTGATTTTTGGTGACGCCAATTTGTCCCAAGACAGCCAGTGGAGAGCCCTTTTATCAAGCGAACTTGCCCACCAGTACTTTGCCATGCAGGATGAAATACTCGTGCAGACTTTTTTTGTCAACTGAAAGCAGCTCATACTATAGGTTGGAATTGATTGAACAACTGATTTCAATAGTACCTCTCGGCCGGCGCATGCCAGATTCCTCTCGGACCATCCGCGGACCTTACTGCGAATACGTTCATTTATATGCATGAACGTTCCACTTGTAATTCTTCCTATTGCTGTCGGTAGCCCCAGATATCGCTCTGAGAAAGCTTCGACCGAGATCCCAAGAACAAGTTTTAGAGAGTCTCGGAGGGGTGTACCCGCATTAGCACTGAAGAAGACCGAACTCTTCTCCTTATTTACCGCTTGGCCGGAGTACTCGGTGTATATACGAAGAATTTCATTAAGCCTTTCTGCACTTTGGGTCTTTGCACCTGAACAAAACAAAATATATAAATAGACGGATACAAGCGTATAATACATTTACATGCACCACAGAGCTTGGGCATGGAGACATGCAGGCCGGAGTGTATGCTTATTTACGTATAACTAACGTATGTAGACGTAAATATTCGAAACACACTACAGTTTTTTTTGCTTTATAAAACACACACATAAGCACGATAACACAAATCACATACAAACACACATACTACTTGGCGAGGAAAGGGCCCCGGCCTCGGACGTTGCCCGGGGGATCGTAGCTGCAGATGATGAAGACGCCCCGGTTGCTGTCACAGATCACGCGGGCGCAGCCGATGCGGGTCGACCTGCGCCACACCACCTGTGTGTAGTGCCCGCAGACCTTGCCCGTGTCGCAGGTATTGCTGCCGCGATGGTAGTTCTGCTTCTCAGATACCCAACTGTTCACCGCGTTGGCTGCGGTCATCCGCTGCGAGGACCCCCAGTAGATGTTCTCGCCGAACCGCCCACCGGAGTGCACCAGCCGGCAGTCAGCGCGGCGCTCCGCCGCGTAGTCCTGCGCGAACTTGGCCACGTTGTTGTTCCACACCACGGGGCCGACGCCGTCCGCTGCACGGGCGCGGTTGTGCAGGTTGACGTAGTCCTGCGGAGTGTTCTGCGCAGAGACATTGGCTACCACGGCTATGGCCATGGCCAGGGCGAAGAATGCAAGACTACTCTTGGAAGATGCCATGGCTAGTTGTGGTGGCTCGGGATCGATGTAGGGCGCTGCAATTTGACGTGTATTTGTAGCCTCGAGACGTGGACAAAGTCCACGTATTGCAAACAAGCAACAAGGAGATGCATGTATCATGACTTGCAGCTCCTAGCTACAAGTGGCAACATTCATACGTATGACAAGAACTAGCTAGTTACTTCCATGCAATTTCCAGTGACATACACATGCTGGTAAATTCAGTTGGGCAGTTGGGTTTTAGTATTTTTTTTTATTTTTTTGAAAAGGAGGATGTACCCCCGGCCTCTGCATCTGGGCGATGCATGCAACTATTTTATTAATTATTCACAAAGTCCTGCCAAAGCTAATACATCGGTAAACCTCAAGCCACATCTTGGCAACACGTGTCGGTACTCCTATCCCGTGATGAATGGGTGCTGAATGTCCGAGCCTAATACCAAACAGACATCGCACCAACACCTAACATCTAATGCCGGATGCTCCATCCAAGCCATATACCTGGACTGGGTTACGCACCAGTCCGGCGCACTTTCAATGGGCATCACATGCGCACGCTGCACTGGCCGTCACCTCCTTCACCCACCGATCCATCCTCAAATCAGATACTGACGCATCGATCTAGCCAGGCCTCTCTGCCATCGACGCCACCACGACGCGAGGCAGCGTCATCCTCCTGCACGAGTCCATCGCCACCCATCGGACGCCCACTCTCCACTGCGCCACACCGCCGAGATCGACCACCATCGATGTGTACGATGAAGCACCGCTACACCACCTACCGACACCCAACCACCAAGCCGTCCACATGTCCGTCCAGCACATGAATGTCTCTAAAGATGATGCCCCCATGGGGGTGACGACGAAGACGTCGCCATCATCCGATTCAGGAGGCCCCTCAACGCCTCCAACGAGGGCTACGACGCCCACGGGCGCCGCCGTCAATATTAGTCTCCTCCAGATCTGAGATTTCCCCCAGAAACAATGAAGCGAGGGATGTCCCCACCATCGCCTCCAATGAGGAAAATGACACCCGCGGGCGCCGCTGCCGATGGTGGCATCCTCACCCACTTCAGCAGCTAGGCCACCATCTCCTCCTCCACTTGACCAGTCACCGGGAAGCCACCGTGAGGCAACACCCACCGACCAGATCTCTTTGGAACGACGATGAAGACAGCCAAAGGTAGAGGAGGTCTCATCGCTGCGTGACCGGCGCCATGGCCACACACACGTCGTCCCGAGGCGCCCACTCAAGATCCACCATCACAGCCACGCCTCCAAGCCGCGACAGAGGGACGCCCCGCCCCCGCCATCACCCCCCCTGCACGGGCTTTACTCAGTCGGGATCCGACGGCGGTGGGAGGGGATCGGGAGGGAGGTGGACGGGATCTGTAGGGAAGGTGGACGGGAGGCGGACGGGATCTGGACGGGGGGAGTTGGGTTTTATTATGGAACTACCTACATCATAAGAGTATCTCTAACCGATCCCCTACAATTTAGAGGTGTAAATCGCTGAGTATACTTTAGAGGAGTATATTTTCTCCTGTAAAAATTTGAGGCTTCTAACCGATCCCTCCGTTATTTATTTTTCCAAGTATTTCTAAGTTTAGTTACATACTACATTTCAGCTACATATTTCCACATATATTAAATCAAAACATAATAACTATGGTTCATACATTTCAGAAATATTAGAATTTCAAAGTATACAAACCAAATCATTCATATTCAAACACAGAGAAGGGTTCAATTGAAGCAAAGAGCATGATAAAATGAAAGCACAACTATGAAGTGCCATGAGGATGCCAGTGATGCTCAATAAGATCGTCCTATAGCATGGTATGAACTTCTCGGTCTCCATGCTACGATGCGCTGCCAGTATCTTTGTATCATGTTTGCATCGTGATCTAGGACCTTGGAGTTCCAATAATCGGCAGGGCAACGAATGATGCCAAAGCGCTTCTAAAGCACACAGAAAACTCTCTTTGCATCCTTCCTTGTTTACTATTTGTAATCAGTCTATTTTTTTGTTGAGAATATAACAAGGCTATATTTAACCACAAGTACCACTACTTGCATCGCACATACGCACGTCAAGATTGAAACATCGAGTTGTGATGGATGTAGCTCATCTAGAACGTAATGTATCATTGTGTGATTCCACATGGCTCTAATCCTGGAAAATCCCAATATGTAACCATTTCAATCTATTCAAATTGAGAAACTAATCCATCGATTTCCTGGAGGAATGAAACAATCCAACTATTTATACTTCAATCAGGATAACTAATTGAGTTTGACATGATTTAAAACTAGATGGAGCACCTATATATTCCTGGATGCAGTGGAGGAGGAAGTTGGGATGGGAAAAGTATATTGACAGCAACATCCCCATGTATATGTCTTTCAATGACGAAAGTTGAATTATATGAAAATTAAATTCAACATGAATATGGTTAATTAATCACGTCATTTGATTGCAACATTAGAGTTGACTCTAGACACGTGAATGTGTGATGCTAGTATATGGATAAGGACTACCATTTCCTGTTTTAGCTTACATGCTTTGTTAATTTTTTTACATTAAAATGCACTAATTTATTAATCCATTGCTCCGTTAGCTTCAATTGACAATGTCTACACGCCTATAACTTAGAGTAGCGTGTTTGACTGTAACAAGAAAAGGTTTGCTTAAACATATGATGGAAGTAGAGATAATGCAAGACTGTCACTTTCTGTAATTTAATCAGCTGATCCGTCCTGGTGTGCCTGCCTAGTTCAAAGGCTGAGCACAACGACTAAACAACAACACACCACCCTCTATTTTTTTAGGATATAAGGATCTAACCAGGCAAAATGCCCCTTTGGTACAAATAACAACTAGCCACATATTAGATTTATAATACTGGCCAGTAGCCCCTTGAATATGGTAGCTTAGGTCTTAAGCATGTATTTAATTACACTAGGGCCTGATTCAGCGGAGCAGACATGAGATACTAGATTAATTATAATTACCAAAGCCTGCAATGGCATCAAAGTCCATGTTGGAAATAGATAAAGTCCACGACTGTCACTCTCTGTAAACTAGTGGCCTGATCTATCATGTTCTTTGTAGTTTAAAGACCGAACACAACGACTATGCAGCACATCACCATCTCTTTATTTACCACAAATGTACATCGATCCACAACCAATTTAGCAAATTATACGGATCTGGACGGGAACGATGCTACTTGGTACTAACAAGATGAGTATGAAATTATTAGTTTGGACCAACCTCCCCTCGAATATGATAGCTTAAGTATGTCTTTAGTTACAATAGACCATAATTAAGCGGTGAAGAAGTGAGATGACAGACAAGTTATAGCAACCAAATTAGTTTTAAAACCACAAATCCATAAAATGACATGCATGTTGATCATTTGACAATACAAATACACATACAATAAATATAGCACACAAACAAAACTTATTATGATAAAAAAATACATAGTTCAAACATAAAATTTACAAGCTTTTTTATGGTGATTGGAGAGTAACCACATGTACTTCAACTAACTCTCCATTTGATCATTTTCCATCGTTTAGTTTAACATGTTAATTGAATTTATTATGTTTAATCATTAAGAAAACTACCATCAAAGTTTGCCAAATTTACAAATGTTCTGCCACCGCCAATATGAGAAAAAAAAAATCCGTACAAAGTCAACGAGCCCATATCTAGGGAAGCCCTAGATATCATCGCTGTCCTTCCTAACGTTCCTAGCACAACTTCCACAAGAATGTCCCTCACCATCCCGCGTCTGCAAGGCCAGTTGCCGCCGTCGCCGAACCCAGATGGCGGCGGCGCCACCGATGCATCCGTCCTGCTCTTTCTCCTTCCTTCCCTGCACGAGTCCGCACTCCGGTCATCCACGCACACGCGACCCTGGTACGCCACAACCCAACTAGGCATTTCTGACCTACCCGACTCGCATGGTTCGGCCCGGCCGTTAATGGCACACCGTCATTGATGTCTGCTCTCGAATGATCAACCACATGAATACGTGCTCAATATTTTGCTCGGTGCTTTTTTGCCACTGTCAGAAATTCGGTGCGATGCAAAATACCAAGAATCATAATGTTGGTTTTTCGCTACTCATGACACAAATGTGGTGGTTCGGTGGATTTTATGCGTAAGACTGTGACAGGGTTGGAAGAGCACAAGCTGGTCCAAAAGTTAGATCAACACTCACAAGATGGAGACATAGATGATGGGGAGGGTGAGGTCTTGTGGAGAGAGGTGTATGCTGAAGGGGCACCACCTGCGCCGGGACGTTCCCATCGGACGGCCTTGCCGAGGAAGCTAGCGCCGTCGGTGGAGGAGGTAGTGGTGAGAGTGCAGGCGGAGGAGGCAGGCGGCAGCGCGCGGGAACATGGCCAGCGGGAGGCAGAGGCGGTGGTTACGAGGGTGTGGCGGTCGGGGCAGAGGTTTTGCACTCCATGACGCCATTGATGGACAGATGGAGGTCGTGTCGGGTGCGGGCGAGTCCCATCTCGGGCG